TGAGGAAGGGGATGTGGGGCTGGGGGGGGGGGACCCTGGAATGTTGGGGGAGGCCAAGGGGAGGGCCCTGCCTCCCTCCCACCACTGCCCGGCCTAAAAATAGGTTAAAATTGCGGGTTAGGGGGTGTTTGTGGCTGGAGAGCCTCACGGAAATCTCTCCTTCTCCTTCAGATCTTTCAGCGGAGGATCCCGGAATGCTCAGCTGAGTCGGAAAAGAAGGTTATTTTCCCCCTTCCTGGCAGGTAGGAAACAGAGAGAAAATAGGGTTTTGCCTGGGTTCTTTTTGCCGGTTTTGCTCATCGTTCGACACAAGCCCCATTTTTTTTTTTGGCCCTTGGGTTTCGCCAGCCAATATCAGAGCAGGGTCTGTCTCCGCTCTTCCCCGAGCACAAGAGGGGGAACCGCCGCTGCTGTTAGATTCGCCTAAAAAAGTTCTTTTTGGGTTTCTGGGAGGGGTTGGGAATCGTCTCAGCCCATTTCCCACGCGCCGAGGTCCAGCTGGGAGGCAGGAAGCCTGGAAAAAACATCCCAAAATGCTCTTTTCTAGTGTTTTTTTCTCTGCGTTCTGGGTTGTGTGGGGTTTTATACCTCCCTCGGTGTCGGCAGAGCCCTGGGGTGGATTTTTTTTCTTGGCGTTTCATGCGATTTTGGGCCGGGTGTTGGGAGGCATCTGGGCTGCAGGGGCTGCCATAACTCCGTTTCACGCCAAACCCCTCCAAAACCAGGGGGTTTTACCCCAAATTTGGCAGGTGGGGAGCAGGGAGAAAACAGAAATTGCCGTCTCCCAACTCCCGGGTGATTCTTCGCGGGGGAACAGAGATGCATTAATTTGTTGAACTCGTTAATTTGTGGAACTCCTTTCCCTCTGCCCACGGGTTCGTCAGCGTCCGCCTTGGGGGGGCTGGTAAATAAGTGGGAATTGGGAGTTTTTGAGAACCCCTCCCCGGCTGCAGGGGATGGTGAATTTCGAGCTGTGGAAAACACACCAAAAAGGCACCAAAAAAAAAGAAAAAGCAAGAAGGTTTTAAATAAAGGCCCCAAAGTTTGAACGGCGGCCAAAGAATTAGCTGCCGGCTGCCAGGACAAACATTAACTAAATCCTGGCAGCCTTTTTGGGGCCAGTCTGGTTAGTTCTGGTGAAGAAATAAACCTGTTTTTTGGGGGGGGGGGAAGGGATGGCCCCCCCGGCGCAGGTGGAGGAGGGGTTTTTTGCGGGGGGAGGAATTGCGGGGAAATGCCACGTGGGAAGGGGTCTGTGGCCTGAGGCTGCTGGGACCTGTGGACTCGCTTCAGGAAGATCCCTTGGGATCCTCCTGGCTCCACTGAGGGGTCTCCACTGAGTTCCCAGCTGGAGGTAATGGAGTGGAAGGAATTTTTTTGAGGAGGGGCTGAAACGGCAGCAAAAGTTTCCAGGGAAGATGCCGAAGGGGATAACGCCAACTCTTCTTGCCTTTTCTCCTCCTCCGAGTGGGAGCTCCCACCCCCTTCCCACTTCCCTGATGTTTTCCGGATCCTTTTATCTTTATTTGCGTTTTGGGGAGGGGACGTTTGCCTTCCCAGACACTTCTGGGACCTGCCAGCAGGACGCTGTTTTCTCTTTTAAAAAAAAAGAAATGAAAAATAAATGGCTCCCGACCCTTCGAGGCGCTTCACTGCCCTGTTGGCCGCTCGTTAATTGCTCCGATCTCGTCTCGCTAATTGCTGGGGATGAGCAGAGCGACGTGGAGCTCTGGCTGCTGCCAGAGAGGAGGAGGAAGAGGAGGAGATCAAGAGGTTTGGGATGAAGCACACCATTGTGGAACGTCCCTGCAACACCCTTTTCTCCTCGGCTCTTCCGCGAGTGACTTTTTCCAAGGAATAATTGAGGATTTTTGGGGGTGTTTTGTGCCTCCCCGCTGAGGCGGAGCCTTCGCTGCGGGAGGAGAAGCTGGTTCCCTCCCAACATCCCAGGGATGGATGTTTTCCTGGGATCCACACGTCGCCGTCATCCCATCCTGGCCTGGAAAAGGAGCAGCTTTTCTCATATCTGACACTTTTTTTTCCTCACAATTCCGGAGGGATTTCCCGGCCAAAACTGGCATCTGGATGAGGAGGTGGCTCCCTGGGAGGGGAAGGAGGCGTCCCCCCGGTGTCCCTCTGGGCGCAGGGAGAAATCCCTTCCCCGTCACTTTTAATTAATGAAAACCCAATTTCTGCTGAGTTTAGGGCAGGAATATTTCCCTCACGAGCTGTAGGTTTGGCATTTTCCAAGGCCGCTACCCTTTCTCAACTGTTTCATTGATTTTTTTTGTTTTTTTTTATTATTAATTAGCCTAATTGGCAAGTGGATTTTTATTACTGTTTTTGATCTCTTCAGCCCGTTTTGGGGGCTTTAAACCAAAACTTTTCTGAGTTTCTTCTCTCCCCATAAATGATTCAGGGCCCAAATTTCCTCGGTTTTGGGGCTCTCACGTCGCCGAGGGGGGGGTATTTTAATAACGATAATTTTCACTAATTAAGTAGAACCTAAGGAAAGTGTAATTCCTCAGAACCGCCCCCCTCGCTCAGCTCTTACACGGGGCAAACAAGCTATAATTTCTGTAAGGGGCTAATTAAAGGTTTTACTGGGCTAATCAGCCTGCGCTTTAATTAGCACCAAATGGTAATCGCTTGCTGAAATGTAAATTGACTTCAGGGCTGCCTGTTACGGGAGTGTGTGCCCCCCCAGCTCCGGTGGATCGTTAAAACCTCTGAGCCTAACGAAGCAGGAGGAGAATCACCCGGCGCTGAATTTAATCTTTTTTTTTTTTTAGCTTTTATTTCCCATTTTTCTGAGTCCAGAATCCGTCCCTCCTGAGAACCTGAGGGTGTTTTTACCCTCATTTAATGCCATATTCCGGCAGCGGGAGAGGGAGCTGAGCCTCCATCACTCTCCAAAACCCTGCCGGAGCCTCGTTAAGGACATGTTAATTAACACCCCGTGCAGAGGAGAGCTCAGGGAGGGTTCCCCGGTTTTGGGGAACCCAAACACGCCGCACGATTGGTGGGTTTTGGGCTGAAATGACACCCTTTCAGTTAAAAAAAACCAAACAAAACCTACCCTGTTTTCTGCATGGCAGGACGGAATTTCCATCTTTTGGGGTCTTTTCACCTGGATTTTGCTGCTTCCCTAGGGCTTTCCAGGCTGGGAAACCAAGTCCCCGTGCGTTCATTCCGTCTTATTAATCATGGTGTTAATTATTCTCTGATGCCCTTGGGATCCCAGGAGCAGGGATCACATGAAGGAGGAACTTCCCAGCTTAGGGGAAAAAATACTGGTTTTGGGGAAAGTGGCAGTTAAAAAGTGGAATTTTGTGTTCTATCCTGCACCCAGGGGCCACCTGGGGAGGCAGAGAGGAGCCAGAGGATCAATTTGGGTCTGAAAAAGATGAATTCTCCCCAACCGCCCTCCCAGATTTCACCTCCCGGGACGTCCCTCCGTGCGCCTGATTCTGCTTTTGAGGCAGAAATTGGGGTCCCCAGCGCTTTTTTTTTTCCCGTTATCTCTGGAAATGGAGATAAGGGGAATGGGAGCTGAAGCTTCCAGGTGGGGGAACAGTGGGAATGGTCTGTTTCAGGGGGTTTAGGGGAGAATTTCTGGGAGCTGAGTGCGAGGGTTCTGGATGGGGAGGGTCGTACCGGTGCCGTGAATCTTTAGAGAACCAGGTAAAATTGGGTTTTAGCCCAAAGGATGCGAATCTTTTCCCCGGAGCTTTTCATTGTTGCCTTCCCCCCGGAGGAGCTGCTTTATCCTGCTCTATCGGAGGGGGAACCTCAAAGAGGGACCCGAGTCCTGGTTGTTCTGGGTGGAAAAAGGGGCAAAAAAACCCCTAATTTCAGTGGGGTTTCGGCCCTGGTGTTGCTGGAAACTGGGAGGTTTGGTGTTTGCGCCATTCAGAAATAATATTTTTGGACGTTTTATTTTTTTCCGCCTTAAACCCTGGCTCTGCCGGGGGCTGGGCTTTGCCGTTTCTTCTCTCCCGGCTCTTCCCGGCCTGATCCTGCGGAGTCGAGGCGATTGTTGCCAGTGTAAATGAAACAGGGGTGGTTTATCCCGGTAAGAAATAACCCAGGGGTTATTCCCTCCCCGATCCCGTCCCTCCTGAGCTCTGCCGGCTCCCAACTCAAATTTATTCCTTAAAAACAACCCAACCTCCCACTCACCCTCCCTCCCCACAAGCCCCAGCTTGCCCGGGTCCGCGGGTTCCTGTGCCCGAAACGGCCTTTTCCCCTGGGTCCGGGGGGGCCACCTCGTGTCCTGGGGTGGGAGGGAACAGGTAGCCACAACCCCAACTTTGGTGGTCCGAGCCCTCTTAACGCCTTGGGCTGGCTTATTCCCCCCCGTATGGTGGCTCAGTGTACCCCCAGCAGGACGGAGGGGACGTAGCCTTGCCATAAAACACCCTAAAACACCCCAAAACACCCAGGGCTGGAGCACCCCTGGAATTGCGTTGGTGGCCAAGCCGAGCTTTGATGTGCCGGTGACTTGTGCCACCGCATCCCGGAAATTTTTCTTTTGGGCCAAGGAGTTGGGGGGGGGGGGGGGGGGGAAAAAAAAACCAAAAAAAAAAATGGGGGGGGGGGGGTAGATGAAAAGAAAAATAAGGACAATTAATGCCCTTTTGATGGAGTTTTGAGGCTGCCATTTGTGCCGGGAAGGTGCCCCCCCTGCCCCGTGGCCTCCGGAACCAGGAGGATCCGGGGCCACCAAGTGTTTCAAATGCTTGAAATTCCAGGATTCCTCTCCCCCCCGCCCTGGCTCCCTGCGGATGGATATTGGGTTGGTTTCACGCCAGGTACCGTGCGGCGCCACACGCTTTTTCGGGACGGGGGGGTGGCCAACACCTCCTCTTTGATGGTTGCCACTCCCAGCACAGGACGAGCCAGAGCCAGCTGGGCCAGTTCCACCGGGTGAAACCAACCACGGGCCCGAGCCCTTTGGCTTCCACCCTCTCCCCCCCGCCTCTCCAGGCAGGTCTCCGCCGCTTTCCCTTCGGATCCGGCCCTTTCCCCGATCCCCCAGTTCCCGGAGAATGTGAGGCCGCGGAGGAGAAAAACCAAAAAACCTTGGTTTTCCAGCCAGGAGGAGCTTTGGGAGCAGGTGGGGAACCTTCCAGCTGTCCCTCGCGAGGGGGGGGGTTAAATCAAAAAGGCCGGAGAAATATCTCCTTGAAGCCACCCAGGAAGTTTCTCATGGAGTAATTCTTGGGAGCCAAGCCGTGGGGAGGGCAAAGTCTCCGGAATCGCCGATACCTCCTTTTTTTTTTTTTTTTTTTTTTTTTCTGTTGGATATTTGGGAAGTCTCTCTCCTGCCTGGGGTGGAGGGAATTTGGGAGAAAAGCCCTTCGTTTTGGGGTTTCCAAGTTGGGGGGGGGATGTGCGGGGTGAGAGTTGGGACCCCTCATCGTCGCTCGTTTTGTGGGGATCCTGACAGATTTGGGGGCCAGAAGGAGGTCTTTGATGAGGTTTTATCTTCCTGGGAGTTAATGAGCCCCTTTCAGGAGGCTCTAAAAGGGGTCTCTCCAGTCGCCGTAGTTGCGGCAGCTCCCGAAGACGTGGGGGATCCGAGGGGGTCGGAGCTGCCAGTTTTCCCTCCCCACCCCAGAAAAAGAGCTTTGGGATGAATTCACTGCTTTTTGGGGATGGAATCACTGCGGCCGTGACTCTCGAGCACCTTTCTCTTTGTGAGCATCACCCGAAAATGCTCCAGCACCGACGGATCCCGGCTCAGGAACCCCCGGAGCTGCCATCGGAGACCCCTGGAGCCTCGGGCTCCTCCGTCCCGGTGATGCCAGGAACAGCATAAGGTTGTCACTGGTGAAATTGAGGAGGAAAACCCCCCAAAACCCCAAAAGAGGTTTGTTTTCATCCCATCATCTTTTTTTTTTGCCTTTAATTTTTCCCCCTGGACGCCACCTCCTCCTGCCGGGATTCCAGGAAAGCTTCCAAGTGCCAGTTAGCAGTCAGACGGCAGCACGGGAGGTATTTTGATCCTGGAATATTCTGAAAGAGAGGAAATAATGAGGAAAACGGGCCCAAATGGGAAGGGAAAAATCGCCCTTTCCCCACTGGGTATTTCCTTCAAGCGAAGGGAAAGAAAGAAAGGAGGGAAATTCGCCTTTTCTGCCCCAAAAGAGGCCTCGGCCATCAGTCCCTCCTCCTGGCCAGCCAGAGGGAGAGTGGGCACCTCCTCCTGGGACCCGCCAATTAGTACCCCGCTCGTTAAGGAAACGGCATCGCTCTCTTTCAGCTGCAAGAAGCAGGGGCTTGAGGCAGCAGAGTTGTGGTCCTCACCCTTTGGAGGGGCTCTGATGCCCCGGCGAGGGTCTCTGGTGCCCAGGCGAGGGGCTCCAATGCCCAGACAGGAGTCTCTGATGCGCTGGTGAGGGGCTCTGAGGGTCTCTGGTGTCCAGGCAAAGGGCTCTGAGGGTCTCTGGTGTCCAGGCAAGGGGCTCTGATGGGCTCTGATGTCCGGGTGAGGGGCTCTGAGGGGCTCTGATGGGCTGTGATGCCCAGGCGAGGGGCTCTGATGGGCTCTGATGTCCGGGTGAGGGGCTCTGAGGGTCTCTGATGGGCTCTGATGTCCAGGTGAGGGGCTCTGAAGGTCTCTGATGGGCTCTGATGTCCAGGTGAGGGGCTCTGAGGGTCTCTGATGGGTTCTGATGTCTGGGCTCTGATGATCGGACGCCAGGCTGAGGGTCTTCAGTGTCCAAGGGTCTCTGGTGCCCAGGTGAGGGGTTCCGATGCCCTGGTGAGGGTCTATGATGCCCAGACAAGGGGCTCTGAGGGTCTTTGACACCGAGGCAAGGGTCTCCGATGCCCAGACGAGGGTCTCTGAGGGTCTCCGATGCCCAGGTGAGGGGCTCATCCTCCCACAAAGGCTCCAGATCACCCCTTGCTCCCCAGCCAGGCTTTGGGGCTCCCCTCCTTTAACCAGGGGGTCTTAAATCCAGCCCAACCCCGGGCGCTCCCAGCCCTCAGGGGTTTGGCCACCGTGGCTGGTGGTCCCTGGCGCGAGGGGTCACAGAGGGGGGGTTTTGGGGGGGGTGGGGTGCTGTGGGAAGCCCAGGTGCATCTGAAGGGGAAATTACCGGGTTCTTCCTGACTTTCTGCCCTTTCCCTCTCCTTTTCCGTCCCCTTTGTTTGAAATGTTGCTGCCTCATTGGTTCCCAGCTTCAAATCTCCTGGATTCCTGGGTTTTCTCTCTCCAAACCTCACTTTTTTAACCCCTCCGACACCCCCTTTTTCCCTGGTTTTTCCATCTCTCCGGGTGGGGGGCGGGGTGGCGGCAGCGACGCTCCCCATCCCGGAAAAAGTGGTAATAACGCCTGGAAAATCCCGGGGTTGGCCTTAATCTGCCCTCTCGGGGCTGATATTTCCATAGCTGGGCTCAAAGAGGCTTGCCCCCCCCACCCCGTCCCTGACACCCCCTTTTTTTGGGGGGAGGGGGTATATGCTGGGGTTTCCTGGAGGATGAGGGAGAGAGAAGTTGATCTGTCCCGGTGCCGGCCGGGAGCGACCTTTCCCTGCGGAACCGGTTCCGGATCCTAAGAGCAGGTTGGGAAGTAACTGGAAAAGTGGGGGGAAGCCTTTGGGGGAGCAGCTCTTGGGGTCCAGGAGTCTGCTTGGGGGGGGATTGGAAGCTGCGGCCCCCCCATCCTAGCCCCGATCCTGTGGGATCCTCTCGCCGGTGCTG